CGGCGCCACAAAGAACCGCAAGGGGCACGCGGTACTCGCCCAGAGTCCGCGTGAAATCAATAAATTAAATATGCAAACTACCCATCGATTGGCAAGCAGGAGGAGCAGAGGCAAAGGCCAAAAGAGGCAGCCACCAAGGAAACAATCCTAGGTTAACGAGCCGCAGCTACAGCCAAAAGAGAGGCGTATCAGCCATACGCCATACGGAACCAGTCAAAAATGGGAAAGAAGGAAGAGGAACTGCTTCGGGCTCTCAACATCATTTACAAGTCAATAAAATCAATTTGGGCACCCGAAGAACAAACAAATTGCCGACAGGCAGCAACACAATGCGGGATATTAGCATTAGGGACAACACATCCATATATCTTACATCTTTTATGGCACTGCCCCCGGCCCAAGCCAATTATAATTCTAGCGATAGCTCCAGACGGCCACAAGGCTCCCTCGTTCCCTTCGATTCCGAGCACCAGAAGCCGGCCTCTAATTAATCAATTATATAAAATACAACTAATGCGCTGATCGAGGCAGCGTGGGCAGAAGGACGAAGAGGGGAGAAAAGGGATAAGCGAGGACTCTGATCCCAAAGTGCTGCGTAGCCATAGACAGATGCCACTGTCCGGAACTAAAGTGAAACCCAGACTGGACGACCGGAGAGCTAAGTCATTTTTTGGCAGATAAGAAAGAAGACGGTGACCGACAGCGATGACTTCATTTCGTTCGGGGTCACCTTTAATGAAAACCACGTTGGAGGTCACCCCCGATTGAGAATAAATACGAATATATTTTATCCCTGGCCATTGAGATAACTCATTAGCCACAGTTTAATAAATAATAAATTTACCTTAATTTTAAGTGTTGATGAGATGTAATTTAAATGTAAATAAGTAGTTGTATTATTCTTGTGTCTAGCTTATTCAAACTTTACGTTCTTGAAATGAAGATTTCGGTCAAATCAAGCACTTAAATTATGTTTAATTAGGCACGGATAAATAATTACGAGTTTTTACAAAATCGACATTTTATTCCACATGAATTTTCATTTTTTGACTCTGCACGCTTGGTATGGGAAACTGTAATTATATTTAATTACTTGAAACAATATGAAGATAAAATGTAATAATTTTAATCCATGCGCATTAAACTCAAATTATCTGAAAAATGAAATTTTTGTTTTGCCAAATTCCACAATACGCTCAAAATGGAACGAAAACCAAGTGTCGAACTACGTCGGTTATCCAGGGGAGGGGTCAGGGGGCAATTAAGACCAGTACAGCAGTACTCGGTACACGCACTAATTACCAGAGCATTTCACATTTTATTTCGCCAGGAGGCCAGGAAGCCAGGAAGCCAGGGAGGCAGAGGCCATGGGAGAGTTTCCACAATTAGATTTACGAACAAATGAAATTACTTCGCTTTCGTTTTAATTGCCGCCCGCTTATTGGCCAGGAATGTGAACCTGCATATACTCGTGTATACATAACCAGCCAAGCAGAGGGCCTTATCGCTGGCTGGAAATCTGGCGATTTTGGGTTGCATAAACCAGTTAATAACGCGCTTCCGCCCAAGTCAATTTCGGGCCTACACGACAATTGAGTGAAAATGCAATGTCGTCGGATCCGACAAAGCAACGAAAGCCAGACAAATCGTCGTATCAAATTACCAAATAATGATCTGGGGGAGGGCCAAGGAAATGCCAGCCGAAGCAGCAGCAATACCTGGTACTCGGCCATCAACCGGGGGCGTTATGTACGTCTAGCTGCCATCAAGCGACAGTTTTGTTGGGTGATTATGTCACACGCCCTGCTCGCTGGGCGAACCGCCGCAGCCATTTGTAATTGAATTAATGCGGGGCTGGGCTCTGAGCTCTGGGCTCTGGAATAGTTGGTGTACTATTTATGGGCCAGGTGACGGGCGGTGCCTTATCGCCAACATTTCATCGCGCGACTCCAGTAACCCTAACTAATCGCACGTAATTAAATATAATTTGGTATCGTTTACAGTTGCGTTTCGTTTGCTACACCATTTTCACCGACTTCGGCTTTTCGTGGGTGAGGGAAATCTATGCCGAAGTAATGGTTGTAATTGGGTAACTTTTTAGGGTAAATTCCATAGATAATAACCGCACAAATTGCGTATAGTTTCAGGGAGGAGAGGGGCAAGTTTGTTGGGACAGAGGCAAAATATTCACTTTCTAATCATCGACCTTCCAAAGGTTTTAACCCTAAGCCTCAAAGTCATCAATCAGATCAATCAGAATTATTTTCATTCCTCCAAACAACAGCACCTTTTGTTCCGAAAATATTATTCTAAGTTTTGTAAGAATAATTAAGAAAACGCTATTTTTATGATTTTCGAAAAAACGATTTTGAACCAATTTTCGCATTTTTTTAAGCAAAAAATTTGGCAAAAAATTATAGTTTTCTGGTTTGAATGCAGGTGGATAGGGAATTTTGTTACGAATTCAACGGGGTATGACATTCTAGGTTTGGACAAGTATGTTTATTGCTATCAAACAAATACGGATTATTTTTTACCAAAAAATCACAAAATAAACATTTTAAAAATCGGATATTTTCAATCGGGGTTTTGTCCATAACTTGGCCAAAAAAAGTGCGCACAGCTAAAATGCAAGCCGTTCTATACAGCCAATAAACATAGCTTACTATCACCATTTTCAAAAAGATTTTCGAAAAGACGAATTTGAACAAGTTTTCGCATTTTTTATAAGGGTTGCTTAAAGGCTACCATCTTTGGAATAAAAAGGCCTGCCCCTTCGCCAAACCTCAAATCTATTTTATCCCCCAGCTGGCAAATGGCAAATGGCAACTGGCAAATGCTTCTATCTAAGCTGCATAATGGTCATAATGAATAAGACACCTCGGACAGCAGATAGGGACCGGGCGAGCTGACTTGGCCGCTTGGCCACTTGGCCACTTGGCTGCAATTTGTTTGCTATCAGCCAGGAGAAAAACATCGAACGACTTATGGGGGAAAAGAAGAAAAAGGAAAACGCGCAGCAGAAATAAAATTATTTAATTGCGCAATTAAGTGCACATTTGTAGCGTTTTGCGCGACATCTGTCCCATGTGCAGGAGTGGATGCAGACCCACAGCCACAGCTCGGAGTCGGAGTCGGAGTCGGAGTCGAAGTCGGGACCGGAAATTCAATTGTTGAGATAATAATTACATTAGGACGTGCGCGCATTCGCGACTCTTTCACTTTAAGCCTCCGTCTCTTTCGCGCTGTGGAGCGATCTGAGCCTGCCTAGAGTGGACCCGAATTGAGTCCAAAACGGGGAAGAATGTCCACGCCGACGTAGTTCGACGGGAGAATACCGCGTACTGGTTGTAGTCCTCCAGATATCTATAAACATATTTTCCATTAAAATCCCCTTATAAGATATTTGATTTATAAAACATATATGCTTCGGACTGATACTCACGTATAAGGATCCATCTCCAATTGGATTCCGATTAAGAATGGCATTTATTGAAATTTTAGTGAAATCCTATCCTATCATATCCTACTCTGGTGAGAGCGTAAATACATCAAGCCCTTGCTCTTCCCGAGTACTGGGTATAATAAGTGCACACCTTGCGCGACGGGCTGATTGACACGGCCACATGGGGACGAGAGATACCGTGCTCGGTACCAGGTATTCCCGATCCCGGTCCGAGCTTGCTGTCCATTGAACTCGTCGGCCAAATGGTCACTCCTCGTCGGTCGTCGGTCGTCGGTCGATGGTCGCTGCTCTTTTGTTTGCATTTCGCCCGTAAATGAAGCGTGAAATTGGCTGCAGTGCAGCGGACGCGATCCAACTCCGACTGCAATCCCTATTCCGATCTGCAATGGAACTCGGAGAGCGTCGCATTGTTTACTTCTTGTTAAGGCCCGACAATGGGATAATATGGCCATATAATGGCAACACCAAACTATTTGTATGCAATTGCCATTAACACTTTATTTATTGCCTTGCGATACAAGCAAATTGGGCAGCGAATGGTGGTCGAGGAGGGGGTCAGCTTCCAGTGCAAAATGCCGCTGGAATGGATCCGTCGATGTATAAGGCCCGCTTATATCAAGCCTAATGAAGTGGTTATCAAGGAATGGAATCTGTTAGGTCTGCTCGGAAATGGCAAGAGCTGGGTTGAGTTCAGTTGTTTCATCGTGGACGGAAAGCAGCTTTCATTGCATTTTATTGGGCTACGAGCAATGATATGATAAACATTTTGTGATACATGATATTCGGAAGATCACGTTGTATTTCACTGAATCTATATACACTTATTTAGGAACTATCAATGTCTTGCCCAAATTCTACTTGAGTCATCTGCATAGCGGGCTCATTAACCCTTTTCACAAGTTGTTGCCTTTCCCCGCTTGACACCCCAACTGCGAAGGGTAGGCAAAGCGTCTATAGCCCGGCAATCATCCAATAAAACCTACAAAGTCATTAACGAGGCCCTTAACACTACCAAAACGGTCTATATGGCCGGTCCAAGTCCCCTCCCCCCTCCCCAATACACGCAATACACAAACTCTCTTCCCCACATGTCTTGGCTAAATTATTTAATTTATGAGCCGCAACAACTGCAAACGCATCTATGGCAACCAGAGGAAAACGCGTTCAGCTGGGGGCAAATAAATTTCCATTTTGCTAATCAAATTTATTGCACTTTGTGCGGGGCTTATTCAATTACGCCCAATCCAAGTGGCGCGAGAGAGAGGGCGATGCGGAGCGACAGAGAGCGGTAGAGCGCACCTCCGCCATTATTTCGCTCCGTCGAATGCCGCGTTCCCATAGGCCGAACCGCCAGAAAGAGGCGGAGTCCGCCTCCCGACCACCTGCCGCCTCACCTGCGACACCTGCGGCGATCGATCGACACGCTCCGATCGCATCGCTCCCTCTCGCTCTGCGGCACTAGGAAGCACTGGAAGCACTGGGAGGCCAGAAAACCACTCTCGCAACATCGGAAAACAACAACTCCAACCGGTTGTTGTCTCAGACCCACCATACTTTTCACCTGCGCGCCAACTGCTCACCGTGTAGTTTGCTGCCGGCTCTGGAACAGCCCGGTCATCACGTCGCGTTCGGTTCCGTTCCGTTCCGAATCCGAATTAGAATCCGAATCCGATTCGAAGAGTCGAGCTGGGGATACATCGGTGTTTCCGGGCAAGAGTGCGTACAATTGTGAAAGTGTCGGAGCTACACCCACCAGGGGTACACCGCGATCAGAGTGGACACATCGACCTCGGTATCTGGTTGTTTGCGAAGTGGACAAAAGACCGTCGGCAAAAGTCACTGTTGGTGTGAAGCTACAGGGCTCATTAGCCCGGCAAAATCAGAAGGCGATTCTAAAGGCAAAATCCCTACAATATCCGGCTATTAAGGAGGAGAAGGAAGGTTAGTGTGAAACATTTTATTGAACCTATATGAATCATTCCTTGGAACATAAAAGACATAACAAGGATTTCTTGCTTCGAGAGCGTGTATTAAACAGCGCAGAGGGTTAGTTATCCTTTTAGCACCGACTTGTATACTCTCCGTAATCATAGAAAAAACACTTTTCTGTTACCCTTATTCGTGTTTTTGTCTTCTGAATATAAATCTCGTTTTAGCCTTTAAAGTAACTCATTTCCCCTTTTCTGTCACTTCCGAATCCGCAGACCACATACTTCACATTTATAATAACTCCTTTCGAATAACCTACTTCCCCGCATGATAGACAAATATTACAAGTATAAGCCATAAATGTATTTCATAATTCTCCTGTCTAATCGCCCCAATCTACGTGAAGGGGGGAAACAAATCGTATGACGAAAAATAAATATCATTAAATTTGATTAATTCTTCACCTGGACACATCAGACAAATATCATCGCTGTAGAAAAGAACTTTATTAACTCAATTTTGAGGAGCACAAGATTTCGCCTTTGCCTTTGCTGATAGTTCGATAAGTATATCGCTGATTGGTTTTAATTAAACACCATTAAAGAGTACAAATTGTCAGCGGTGCAGTCAGCGCCAATAAATCACGTTTTGTCTAGCTGATGTCTTTCCCTTCTCGAAGGGGTTTTGGTCGAAAGTTGGGGCATAGTCTTATGCTTGTCGCCATGTGTACCTACAGAATAAATGAAATTAACCAGCCACACCTATCACCCGCCGATAATCTTGTCAAGAGCCACTGACCACTTAGCTGCATGACGGGGACGAGGGCCCCGAGCTTATGGTGGAAATATCACAGAAACAGATATTTGGTGCAGATAAGGCAAAAGGAAAACCGGGACCCTCTTTCCTGGCGATAATCGGGCACTTGGCCAACTGATTTAATTAATACGTATAACGCATGTGACTTGTCAGCACAAGTCTAAACGAAATTGTGACGCAAGTTGGTCGCAGTGTCTTGTATCTCTGAGGTAGCATCTTTCCCAATAGATAATACCGGAAAGATCCGATAAGATTGTCCCGTACTGGGGACAGCGTAAAATTAAAATATGTTCTTCGCCGAATGCAGTTCAATTCAATTACGGCAACAAACAATTAAAACTTGTTGCCAGATACCTCAGATACCGTCTCGGTATCTCGTAGATATACACCCGAATTTTTGGCAGCTATCTGAACACGAACTCTGATTTGATTTGATTCGATTCACTGTTGTTCGATTGCTCGACAGCTCCCAATTTGGGGCGCTGTCTTTTGATGGGCTGGTGGTTGATTGTTGATGGCCACACACCCCCGGAGAGAAATCTCCTCCAGCGGGAAGATGGCGCCAGGGCCCTTTGAGATGTGCTTCATTAATTCCTGGCCCCGACCCTCGCTAAATGGAACATGCAAACATGAGAAATTAACGTCGTCGTCCACAAATTGCCCACCGTCTGCCTCGGATTCGCTTATCAAACCACACAAGACAATGACAAAGGGCAGGGCGGAACAGTCCGAGATGGAGATGGCGTCGGGCAACAGTTGTCCAATCCCCACATCTCCACATCCCCACATCTCCACATCACCGATCCCCCATCCGCGATCCCCTCCGATCCCACTTTATAGCTCCTCACGGCGACTGCTGTTCTTAACATGCATTTTATGAGTAATTGGCCCCGCATCAACATCACCAACACGGGCTAAGCTTGTAGCTACAGCATCGCCATTCACCATCAACCACCTCGTGGTCTTCTGTGTGGGTCTCCAGTTGCTGATCCTGGCTCTGAGTCACAACTTGAACTTGCGTCTACCTTTGGACTACCGTCCCGGCACTCTGATCCATTAGGGTGGACACGGGGTAATGTTTGCTACCTGGGAGCGAATCTCGAATGCCCTTGGAGAGCTCGAAATCCAGTTGTCAAATTCAACGTTGATTCAGTACTTAAAATAATTATTATGTTGAGCTAATAGATAACCCTCAGTAGACCTATAACATTAAAGTGTACAGAAAATTGTTGACATATCACAGAATATATTATTTCGTTGACCAACTTTTTTCACCTGGCGCAGGGAAGGGTACTAGACGGTTCGGTGCAACTCCGTCTGATAGGCAGTAAATTGAATTAAGATTGTGGAAAAGAACAACAAATGAGGCAGCAACTTCGACACAGGATATGAATAAACTAATTATAATTGGGAGTGTGTGCATTAGAGGTCCATAACGTACACCCCAGAACAAGAGGTACAGAAACAGACGATGATGACGGCGCCTGGCCAACAACAAGAATGCTGGCTTATCGCACCTGGTCCAAAAGACGGCGCCAAGAAACAAACAACCCAACAACTGGAAGGTGAATGGAGGGCTCAGGTGCAGCCTAAATGGGATAAACACTACGGACTCGACTCAACTCGACTCGACTCGGCCCAGCTCAGCTGCTTGTGATATTAGCTTTAAATATTTCTGGGGACTTATAAAGCGCTCCAAACTTGGAACGTCCCTGGCCAATCCATCAACTTCCCAGAGGGACCACACAGTTGGGATCGGGGAGTATCAGTGAGCTTTCGCTCGGGGCCAAAAGTTAAACCACCCAAAATGCTTGCCATTATCGGGGAACCGGAGGCGAAATTACAATGCCGATCATCAAAGTGTGACTAAAGTGGTTTAGCCTAATGTAAACCCATAAATAAGCAGCCCAGATACTGGCCAGACTGGGCACTGACTGGAAACTGGAGTCTGATCAATAAAGTCCGGGGAGTGGAGGAGCGAGACGGAGGCGCATTAACGAAATGCCAGAAAAGAGCTTCTGTTTGCTGTTCTACCTGATGCCGTCCCTCTGGCCCGGCTTTTAATGAAATATGCCAGCACAACAGTCCCCAGACACCGAGAATCGAGGATAGAGGATCGAGGATTGCATCGGGCAGATCGGGAGCTGAAGGAGCTAAAACACAAAAGTGCAACCATAAAAACGACACCAAACATGAAGGAGCCAACTGAAGTCGCGTCTTCTGCGGAGGAGAACCAGCGCTGAGTTGTGGAAGAGCAGCCAGGCAGGGCAGAAACATTGATGCTTATCGAGATGACAGAAGTGACGACAAGGGACGCCGGACAGCGGACAGCGGACAGCGGACAGTGGGCCGAGCACATGGGACGGACACGTCGGGTGGACAAGCGAATAGATGTAGCTTCATACACTTGTTTCGCATTACGAATTAATTTCTTCATTTGCCATATGCGTGTACTGAGAGAAAGTCGCTCAGTGTGGGATACATTTATAAGCCACGAGTGAGGCCTCAATGAGCCGCAGCTTTTTTTCCAGTGACTTTATGACTGCGCTGGGCTAGGAAACCCACACAGCCTACAATGTTGCTCTTAAATATTTCCCCAGACACTAATGGAGCTTATCTCTAAACGGAACAAGCAACCGCAAACAAGTTGCCAGACTCGGACTCGAACTCGGACACAACTCCAAGCCCCAGACTTTGACTGAGATTGGGAATGGGACTTGGTCTGCGAAGTTTGACTGGCGCTTGGCCTGATTAGCATGCAGGGCCTAAGAGGGCCAAGACGCCGAGTGGTTGTGTCAAAATGTTAGCCACGAAATCGCCCCCACCAGAAGTTCACGTCCACCCATCCCAACCCATCCCAACCCATCCACAGCCCAGGCTTCCTGGAGTGGCCGGCTATCTGGTTTTGGGCAGAGCAAGTGCAGCGTTAACTTGATTAGTTGCTGACCAGCCAGTGACTTAAGCTAAATGAAGCCATGCGACCAACGCGACCAAACCAAATCGGTAGGCAGACGTCAAAAACTTGACAGTTTCCAGCAAAGTCTCTGCCTTTTAATTACCCAGCGAACCGTCAATCAGCGGAGGATTCCTATTCCTGCTGCTCCGATTGCCTGGGCCTTAATAGAGTCGTAACGCGGATACAATTATAAGGCGGCTCCACAACAAAGCTGAACGGCACACATTCCCCACATAGCTCCAAAGTGCTCAACGGTTCCCATTCGCCGTGGCATTCGCATTCATGCAATGAATTAATCAGTGCTGCTCTCGTAACGAAGTCGGGGGAATCGCAACTAGTTACTAGTAGCATAATTGCAAATTCGTACAACTAATTTAATAATTTGCTGCGCGCAAATTAAGTTTGTCAGCTGTCAATGCGCGGAATTTGTTGACAACATTGAAAACTGACAGGGCAACTCATAACCGAAGTTATGATCGAGCCCAGGAATGAGTTATGAACTGGAGTTTACGACAAGGAAGATTCATGCGAAATGCCTGGGCGAGGTGAAGAAAGATGCCACTCAAGCTGAACCTTGCTGGCATTGGCGAACGTCTTCCACGTCTTGAAGTGCACTTAAACAATAGTTTTGGAGGTAACAGAAATCAATATGCCAGAAGCAACTTACAATATATAGGTTTAACTATCGTCAGCTATCGACGTTAATTCCAAGTTTTGAAACTTTGAAGACCCGATTTTGAAGACCGAGGTTCCATCCATATTTTGCAGTGCATTTCTTTCGCGGACTTCGCTTGTTTGCCAGTTGCAACTTCATTCCGCGCAAGAATGCAACTAAATCAATCACCGCCACACTAATTTGCCATTTAACAAGGTATTTGGACAATTTTGATATATGTAGAGATGTCAACAGAAGCGGCGGCCATCAATCAAGTGGAGTTTTGGGCATGGGACATGGTCTGGAGGCCAGGCTCTGATTTTTGAAGTTCAGAGATGCAGCACAAGGGGAAGGTTACAAGCCGGGCCTAACCACTTGGTTGTCATTTAAAGACGTCGTATATTAATTAGCCATTGGTAACAGGGAACTCCAAGCCAAGCTGAAACTTCGGGAGCTGTTTGTGGCAGAGAGAAACCCGGGCCCAGCTAGCACCTGATATTAATTTGATCTGATAGAAGCCACATGGACACGGGTCTCGAAGCGACCGCAGCCCAGCCGCTGAGTTGATGATGATGAAAATGAAGTTGCCGCCCAATTTAATTAAAATTCCAAACGATCTGCAGATGAAGCCTGCCGTTGCCTGCTAGCAAAATAAGCCCAGCTCAGCGCCCGATGAAAGACGTGTTGATGGAAGAGATCAGCTGGCGGACAGCCCCCTGCGGTGGTCATCGATTTGCATTGGGGCAAGTTCGTCAGCAGCTGCAACTGGGCAGCGGAAACCTCAGCCCGGAGATGCATCTGGAAACGAAGCGGAGGCCATGACCACAAGGCACGCTTCCAAACCGCAGAAGACCCAGTCGACTTAGTGACGTCTGAAACAAGCACTCAGCTGTGAGAAATTTGGCACTAAAACTCGACGACGCTCCTGCAGCTTCTGGATTAGAAAGTAGTATCTCAATACGTTATATTTGCAATGGAAAAGAAAAACGCTCCGTAGATATATCTCCAGCGACGTGTTCCACCAGTGTTTTCAAGCTTCAGATGTTTTATGACTGATGTTATCTGCAGGCTACCAGAATTAAATGGTATGTTTGTTTTTAATGGGAACTTTAAGCCTATGTCCGGTTTGAACATAACTTATCGTTCGAGGGTTCTTTACCCCGTACCAAACCCTGTTGGCCAGTGTAACCGCGGCTACCCGCAACTACGAGTCCCGACCCAAGCGATGACTTGGTCATGGCTAGATGGCAAATTACGGAAATTGGCATAATAAAGTGCACGATAATTGCACGTTTAATGTTTATTGAATTACGAGCTTCTAATGCGCGGCTAACTGGAAATCTCTGCCCATTTTCTTACAGGCAGAGAAAAACCAAATAACCACATGAAGGCATAGAATATATTTATTTTTAAATGGGATTTGAATTGCTAACTTTTATTGATTTTTATCTTCAGCAATTACAGCTGCAGCCGTTTAATTATTAAGTCATTTTGACCTGAATGATGATGTTATGAAGGCTCTTAATTAGCTAAATAAACGATGAAACAGTAAGATACATTATTGTTTCAATAAATCTAAGTTGAACACGCGTTCTTTCCGTAACACTCCCATTTTTTGAACTTGAATCACGTGAAACTAATAGCCTGCATTTATCTCTGTGTAGCCGCTGTCTTCGAGCTCAGACTAGATCGCCCTCCTGGATTATGGGCATATCGGAGGAAATCAAGCTGGAGGAACTACCGCAAGAAGCCAAGCTAGCGCACCCGGATGCCGTAGTGCTGGTGGACCGCGCCCCAGGATCGTCGGCCGCCTCCGCCGGCGCAGCGCTGACGGTTTCGATGTCGGTCTCGGGCGGAGCGCCCAGTGGGGCAAGTGGAGCAAGTGGGGCAAGTGGAGCCAGTGGGGGCACCAACAGCCCCGTTTCGGATGGCAACAGCGACTGCGAGGCGGACGAGTACGCCCCGAAGCGGAAGCAGCGGCGCTATCGCACAACCTTCACCAGCTTTCAGCTGGAGGAGCTGGAGAAGGCCTTCTCGCGGACCCATTATCCCGACGTGTTTACGAGGTGAGTAACATATGACGAAATGCGATAAGAGCACGGACGGAGACGGACAAAATGAGTGCCCCAGAAGAAAAGAAATTTGCATAAATCGCTCATCGAGGCGCGACAAAGGCTGGAAAGTTGATTCTCGGTTTTACGATACCAATTCGGTACCAATATGGAAAACGATCGGGCGATAACAATAATGCTCATAACGACGCGACCCCCTGAGTGGATCGATCGATCTTATTTGGAGCAGCCGTCTACACAAGTATATGGGTCTGTCTGGGACTCCTCCTGAGCTAGCCGATATAACACCATCTCGGACTGCTCGCCCTAAGAAACTCTAGCGATCGCAATTAGCATGCAGCAATGTGGTCGAGAGACAGCCACAGTAATTGCCATAAATTTAAAGTCTGCCACTTTTGCAGTCGAGCAGCCAAAGTGAGCTCTAATTGAGACCGCACGAAGCTGGGACTGGAGCAAAAACCGAAATAAAAAGTGAGCTTACAATGTCAATCGCAGCCGCAATTAGATCAACTTTTTGCCGTGTCGCTGGCAGTTTTCAATTCATTAGGCTGTGGGTTCATTTAAATGCAGCAATTAATTTAGCCAATAAATCAATTCGACAATGAGCTCCGAATAAGCTTCCATTGCTTTGGAACGAGAAGCAAGGGAGTTGGGCTAAGGTCAGCGATTTAAGTAACGTCTTTCTTGGCATTTGGCAATGCAATTGGTTGGCTAAACATTTTGCGAAAAGAAAGGCCATTTGCTGGGCGGTTGAATGCCTGCCCCACATCCTTGCAGTTTTTTCCAGCTAACCAAGGTTTCTCTTTCATTTTCTTGCAGAGAGGAGCTGGCGATGAAAATTGGATTAACCGAGGCGCGCATTCAGGTAAGCATTTTGCGAAGAGGAAAAATCAGGGCTCGAAGCTGCGCAGATCTGCGGTTAATTCGCGTGGCCCACGTGCACCCAACAATGTTGAAAATTGAAAAATAATGGAGCATGTCGCTACTAATGAAATCGAGACGGGAATGAAAACTAGACGGACAGCCAGCGGAGATCCGTGGCCGGAGAAATTCATTTAATTCTGTTTTAGTGCCAGTCATTACATGCCCGGTCATTTTATGGTCGGAAAGTCGCCGCTTCCTTTTAATTACTGCTCATGCTAAACAACATTATTTGCCTACATCCATTTCTGCTCTTCTGCTCTTCTGCTCTTGTGCCCGGCCTGCAACTGCTCGGGGACTCCCCTACAGCACCTAATCCGAGTGCAATCAGTAGACGGCTTCTTGGGAAGGACTCCGTATTCAGATTGTTATGTTAAAAACTAATTAAAGGGGCGTTTTCAATAACAACGCCCATTAATTGGATGCTTCGGGATCGGAGTACACATGCACAGGATGGCCCAAAGTTGATGCAGATACAGTAGCCTGCTTGCAGCACATAACTCATAAATCCCATTCCCCTCTGACTTTCCAGGTTTGGTTTCAAAATCGGCGCGCCAAGTGGCGCAAGCAGGAGAAGGTCGGCCCCCAGTCGCATCCGTATAATCCCTACCTGCCCAGCGGCGCCGCCACCATGCAGACGGTGGTTGGGGCCGCCCTACCGCCCAATCCCTTCACCCACCTGGGCTTCCAGCTGCGCAAGCCCTTCGACGCCCAACATGCCGCCAACCTGGCCGCCTTCCGCTACCCGCACCTCTCGGCGGCCCCCATGATTCCATCGGGCTACTTTAACCAATTCCAGAGGTGAGTACACAGTCGCTATTATTTAAATGAACTCCTAACTGAATGAATGGCCTGAAGTAAGACAAAGGTCTTAATTAGCTCCGTATATTATACGCTATTTATGAACTATTCTCCGATTTGTATGCAATTCCTTGCAGGGCTCCTCCCCATATGTTGCCACATGGAATGGCGGGCATGTACTCACCCTCGAGCTCCTTTCAATCCTTGCTGGCCAATATGACGGCCGTTCCGCGAGGTCCTCCACTTGGAAAACCTCCCGCCCTGCTGGTGGGATCTCCCGATCTGCATTCGCCCAACCACATGCTCGCCTCACCGCCCACATCGCCCGTCTCCGGGCACGCCTCCCAGCATCAACAACACCCAACCGCGCACCCACCGCCCCCTCAGGCGCCTCCTCAAATGCCAGTTGGAGTCCAGCCTGCTCAGCTTTCTCCCCAACAGCTGGTTGGGATCGCCTTGACCCAACAGGCCTCGAGTCTATCGCCCACCCAGACTTCCCCGGTGGCCCTGACTTTGTCGCACTCTCCCCAACGACAACTGGCTCCACCACCTCCATCGCATCAGCCACCGCCGCCACCTCCCAGAGCTGCAACGCCACCCGAGGACAGACGCACCTCCTCCATTGCCGCACTGCGTCTGAAGGCCAGGGAGCACGAACTGAAACTGGAGCTGTTGCGCCAGAATGGACATGGAAACGATGTGGTCAGCTAGCTGGAAGAGCAATTAGGATTCAAGCGCAAAATTGATGTTACGAAGGTCAGCGAGGATACCCCAAACCCAAGTGCAAAAAGATTTCCAATTCACAGTAGTCCTAAACTAATAAGTTATTCAATTGTATTTACTTAAGCCCCAAATTTAAATAAATTCAATAAGTTCAATAAATTCAATAATAAATAAATTCAATACATATTGTTTTTGGCAAATAATAATTCTCGCTGTTTTGTATCTATTAGCTGAATAAGGTAAAAGCAATAATTACATCAAAACGTCAGTTCAAAATGAAGCTGAACCTATTTGAGCACACCAAACAATAACTAGCTCCTCGTCATCTCAGTATGTCTTCTGGTAATCCCCACAAATTATCCATAAGCCGATACCTAATGGACAAAAGCCCCTTAATAATGTTGGTAACAACACCTACTTAAGAGAAGAGAGGGGAAGCCAACGCAGAAACTAAATCACAGCCAGTTCACCCGATCTTGGGGGTACGGAATGATTCCGGCTCAGATCCGGAATCGAAGCTGCCATTAATCAGTGGTCTTCCCATAAATCAGCAAGTGAAGGGACAGCGGAGTGGAGAAAACGGGAGTTTGGCGTGATCAAAAACAAGGCAGTCATCTTCTGAGAGAGGATGCCACAAATATACAATTATGAATAAATTAGAAACAAATTAAGTATGTTAATGAGTCGCCCGTTCGGAGACGAAGTCAAAGTCAAGAGCCGAAGAGAGAGGCGGCCACTAACAAAGTCTCTGTCTCTCTACGCTTCTTGTTGGTGAATTATGCGCGGTAATTAATAAAATGGAATATTTATGATAACATTTATAAAACACGAAGTTGCCTAATTCGATTACCAGATTTTTGGTCAGCCGCTCATTTTTTATTGAGCTCAAATGCGAAGCGGAAAAATAAGAAATCGAAAGGGCCATCCATGGTCATGGACTCCACCTCAGATGGCCTGGTAATTGCGATGAGGTGGAACTGTGATAATCATGTTTAGCCGCCGGGCCTGCATGATATTTTCTGCCTTCCCGGAGAGGCTGGTAACATATCATGCATTTCAATGAGGCGTCAAATGCAGAATATGAACGAGAACCCAAGAGCAAGGTCCAACAATTAATTTGCATAATAATCAAGCCAAGAGGAGGAAAAGGGGAAGTGGGAAGTTCAACAACCATATTAATAATCATTAATTAAGGCGACTAATTAACACTGACATTAAGAGACTGCATTTTAATTACCACCCCGACTGGATATGCTTTTAGGTTTGTTTTTATACCCGTTACTCGTAGAGTAAAAGGGTGTACTAGAATCGTTGAAAGAAATGTAACAGGCAGAAGAAAGCGTTTCCCACCACATAAAGTATATATATTCTTGATCAGGATCAATAACCATGTCAGAATTGGACCATGAAATTGAACCATTGCAATTGGACCAGGATCGAATTGGCCATGTCCGCCTGTCCCTCCGTCTGTCCGTATGAACGCCTCGATCTCAGCAACAACAAAAGCTAGAATGTTGAGATTATGCATGCAGCTTTCAGAGACATAGACGCAGCGCAAATTTATTTCCAAATGCTGTCACGCCTAAGCAATTCTCTAAAAACCTGCATATCATATCATATATCATATTAATTTTTCTGATGCATGAAATCCAAAAAAATATATAAAAAATACCAAAGCTTGAGGTTCTAAGCTCTATAACTCAACTTATCATAATCAGATTTTTAAGTGGCATACCTCTAAATGTTTCTGGCGCAATTCTCTAAAAAACTGCATTCAAATTTAGAAATTCTTTTTTTTTTAGTTTTTTTGTAATTTTTCTGATGTATGATGTTGTAGAAATTCAAGATTATTAAGAAATGCCCCAAGGCTGAAGTTCTAAGCTCCATATCTCAACTTATCTTGATCGGATTTTGAAGTGGCATACCTCTAAATGTTTCTGAAGCAATTCTCTAAAAAACTGCATTCAAATTTAGAAATTCTTTTTTTTTTAGTTTTTTTGTAATTTTTCTGATGTATGATGTTGTAGAAATTCAAGATTATTAAGAAATGCCCCAAGGCTGAAGTTCTAAGCTAAATAACTCAACTTATCTTGATCGGATTTTGAAGTGGCATACCTCTAAATGTTTCTGGCGCAATTCTCTAAAAAAACTGCATTCAAATTTAGAAAAAAAAATTTTTTAATTTTTTTGTAATTTTTCTGATGTATGATGTACAAATTCAAATAAATTAAAAAATGTCCTAAGGCTGAAGTTCTAAGCTCCATAACTCAACTTATCTTGATCGGATTTTGAAGTGGCATACCTCTAAATATTTCTGGAGCAATTCTCTAAAAAACTGCATTCAAATTTAGAAAAAACATTTTTTTAATTTTTTTGTAATTTTTCTGATGTATGATGTTGTACAAATTCAAATAAATTAAAAAATGTCCTAAGGCTGAACTTCTAAGCTCCATAACTCAACTTATCTTGATCGGATTTTGGAGTGGCATACCTCTAAATGTTTCTGGAGCAATTCTCTAAAAAACTGCATTCAAATTTAGAAATTCTTTTTTTTTCAGTTTTTTTGTAATTTTTCTGATGTATCATGTTGTACAAATTCAAATAAATTAGAAAATGTCCTAAGGCTGAAGTTCTAAGCTCCATAACTCAACTTATCTTGATCGGATTTTGAAGTGGCATACCTCTAAATGTTTCTGGAGCAATTCTCTAAAAAACTACATTCAAATTTAGAAAAAAAAATTTTTTAATTTTTTTGTAATTTTTCTGATGTATGATGTTGTACAAATTCAAATAAATTAAAAAATGTCCTAAGGCTGAAGTTCTAAGCTCCATAACTCAACTTATCTTGATCGGATTTTGAAGTGGCATACCTCTAAATACTTCTGGAGCAATTCTCTAAAAAATTGCATTCAAATTTAGAAATTATTTTTTTTTTAGTTTTTTTGTAATTTTTCTGATGTATGATGTTGTAGAAATTCAAGATTATTAAGAAATGCCCCAAGGCTGAAGTTCTAAGCTAAATAACTCAACTTATCTTGATCGGATTTTGAAGTGGCATACCTCTAAATGTTTGTGGCGCAATTCTCTAAAAAACTGCATTCAAATTTAGAAATTCATTTTTTTTTCATTTTTTTGTAATTTTTCTGATGTATGATGTTGTACAAATTCAAATAAATTAGAAAATGTCCTAAGGCTGAAGTTCTAAGCTCCATAACTCAACTTATCTTGATCGGATTTTGAAGTGGCATACCTCTAAATGTTTCTGGAGCAATTCTCTAAAAAACTGCATTCAAATTTAGAAATTATTTTTTTTTAAGTTTTTTTGTAATTTTTCTGATGTATGATGTTGTACAAATTCAAATAAATTAGAAAATGTCCTAAGGCTGAAGTTCTAAGCTCCATAACTCAACTTATCTTGATCGGATTTTGAAGTGGCATACCTCTAAATACTTCTGGAGCAATTCTCTAAAAAATTGCATTCAAATTTAGAAATTATTTTTTTTTTAGTTTTTTTGTAATTTTTCTGATGTATGATGTTGTAGAAATTCAAGATTATTAAAAAATGTCCTAAGGCTGAAGTTCTAAGCTCCATAACTCAACTTATCTTGATCGGATTTTGAAGTGGCATACCTCTAAATGTTTCTGGAGCAATTCTCTAAAAAACTGCATTCAAATTTAGAAATTTATTTTTTTTCAATTTTTTTGTAATTTTTTCTGATTTATGATGTTGTACAAATTCCAGATTATTAAGAAATGCACCAAGGCTGAAGCTCTAAGCTCCATAACTCAACTTATCTTAATCTTATTTTGTAGAGGCATACCCCAACTCCACCGCCCACAAGCCGCCCAAAACTGTCATTTTTGAATATATCACGAAAAATTTCTATAAATATGCCAAAAACTTTTTGCACGCCACTCCAACGCCCACAAGCCGCCCAACTGACACGCCCACACTTTTGAAAAATGTTGTGGTACTTTTTCAGTTTTTTATATATCTTGTAAATTTCCATAGATTTGCAAAAAACTTTTTGCCATTTTTATGCACTTTATAATTTTTTTCCCAATTTCTACCGATATTCCAGAAAATGTTGAAATTTCTCGTTTGCACTTCCACTTGCTGAGTAACGGGTATCTGATAGTCGGGGACCTCCACTCTAGCATTCTATTTTGTTTTTTTTTATTTGGTGCCTGCACTTTTTAACGATTGCAGTGGGAAATTTGTTGTCGCCATGTTTTTAAAAAAATACTTAAACGAGTAATTTCCATTTTAAAATTTTTGTACGCCAATTACTGTAAGTACTTATTAAAATGTCTATGCACGGCAGGTATTTGTGTAATATCTCTATGCTGTTTTAGTAACTGCATTTAATTTGTTAACAAATTTACACAGAAACATTCGATTAAAGTGCATTTCGTTTGGTTTTAATGTAATTTAACAGCAACACTAACTTAATTGTTAATTCCACATGCCGCGGAGAGTGAGCAGCAAAACATAAGACAACCTGGGCAGTTTTTTTTCTGCTTATTTTTCTTCTTTCTCTATACATTATTTTGTTGCCTTGCGAGAAAAAATGCAGCTTTAGTTTTTTTGTACCTTTTTGTTGTATCTGCTGGATATGTAATTGCCGTGGCTTATGTGTGTGTGTTTCGTGTGTTGGCGCAATTAAGTTTGCGTTTAATTTGCAATTATCCAAACGACTCGAACTAATTAGCGCCACTTTGATTAAACTTAGCAGCACAAAATTGAAATGTAAAAGGAAAACGAAAATGTTTTCAATTTTTCACGAGTAGTAACCACAGAAATTTTCAGAAATCACAATTAAGTTTGTCCCTGAAATATTTATAAACATATTCAAAAATAGTCGTGAAATTGGCCACAAAATCCCAGCCTACTATTTTTTTGTTTTATGACAATACAATATAATGAATTCATTGAGACAAAGAAAAGACTTAGGCAACGAACTTGCTGATGGAACTAAGGGCCGAAGGAAAAAAGACATAACGGCTACATAAAATTTTTCCCATGTAAATAAAAACAAAAATCCAGTTACGCATGCATATTATTTTGGGGAAGATGTAGTGGGATCAGTGATGAGATAATCTCAGCGATATAAGGGAGACTTGTGGGCAAATTTATCAGATTATA